AAATGAATAACAATGCATCATACATCTGTTTCGTTCTTCCAGGACCTATTGGTGATGATAAGAACCAATTAGTTGCTTAATACAGAAGGGCAGGGGCGTAAAAACCCTTTTTATGGTTTTAAAACTTTAAAAGGAATACGGTTTATTTTCAAATAAAACAATCGGTCAAGGATGATTATTGTAGACCGTGCTACTACTCAAAAGAGATAACTGTGGCCACAAAGGTTACAGTAAAGCTCGGGGACTAATAACTACAACAGCAGAGTTAACCAGTATCATGTCAAGTATATTTTTAGATCACTGCGTTGAAACCTTTATTAAACATTAGTACACACTACTAACTTATATGTCAACAAAATTCATCAGTTTGGAAATACCTATGTAACACAGCTTTACTTAATGCGCAATGTATATTTAAGTATCACCGTTGCGATAAGTTAAAACGTACATGTTTGTGCATAAACTAGAACTGTGGTACCATTAATATAAGACAAAACTATTTGATCCTTTTACTACGAAACGGAACTAGCCACGTCATTATTAACATCGTATTGTTGAAAAATGATAATTCCAACCCAACCCAACTAGAGCACTAAGTGGGCTTAATACCGATCCCAGTTCCCAGTAATCGGAAATGAAATATCCAGCTACCAAGAACAAGTCAATATCAGTCACAAGACGAGCGATAACTACACAGTCCACATTCCTGTACGACATGACCTATGATAACTGACATAAGCGCTCACGATTTCAAATTCGGAGATAAACTTCCCTCTTGAATATTGCCCTGCGTCCGATTAAGTCTCATTTATATATTATCTTTTAATATTTGTAACCAACAGGAAGTACGTTATATAGACCACAGATATTTTCCTATGTGTAAATGTCGGTTTATTCCTCCTTATGAATTATAAATAACAGCTAAATGTTAGTTGTTTTTAAATGCTTGAAATCACAGAAGCGTGATGTTTTACTGTATTACCAAACTATAGGCAGTAGAGGCATAATAAGTGCAATACTTTAATGACGTCTTGCTTGACAACATGGCTGCATACCATATTCAATGGGCTATGTAACGAAGAAGACGAAAATCAACCTGTTAACTGTGCAAATAACCGACTGTTGTAAGTGTGTGTGTTTGATATCCACAAGTAGCCATTATTTTACCTCCACGCAATCTTCATCTTTAAATCCAGTGAAACCTTTTTTTGATTATTCATCACTGGTTGAAGGATATTATTCAACTATTTCATTGTATATCATACTTAAAAATGAATGAAAAATAAATAAGTCATTGAAAGTGTTATTTTGCACTACAGTGGCGTTTAGCATGCTTATTTTAAATAGTAGAACAGGCGATGATTATTTTTTAAATAAAGGGCTGCTGCTGCATCCCACTGCTTATTATAATGAACGAAGAAAAAAGTTGCTCTTCCTCTCCACAGTAGTATTGTATTTTTCTCATCTGTCTGTTCTTCAAAGGATATTCAATACATCAAAATTCATCTGCAGCACCCATCTCAATAATTTGTATTTATATCTGTTCCTTTCTCACTTCAAATTCTGTTCGGCGATGCAACCATAGACAACCGTCTTCATATTACATTGGCTGACGCAAGTCCGTTAAACTGTAAAACAAAATCCTAGCACCCTGCTAAGGGAGGCAATGGGTTTTGTCCCCAGGCCGGGACATACCCTGCTTATCGTTCAGAATCTAGGATATTGGCAACATTTGACCGGGCGGAATGATGGGCTTGGTGCCTTCGGCATGGTATTTCAGTTGGATAGCACTTCAAAGTCGGCATCTGATCCGCTCACAAGAAGGCATTTACACCGCCTTACCTTGCCTCCGGCACACACATACCTATACAGGTATACACAACACACATGGAGGCACCACCTTAAATGATCATAACTGTTTGTAAGCTTTTTTAAGAAACGCTATTATTCCTATCGATATGTGCTTTTCCAAAAACGCATATTTATGTTACGCGTACAAACCATGTTGGCAAAAACATCGACGTTAAAACTCACAAAAGTAAAGCAAGACAAGACAAAATACTATTTTAACATTAAGATACACGTAAGTGCGCGTAGCTTTTCTTTTGTTATAATGATCATCCCATAACAGAGGAGACCAGATACAGCCAAGTTAGTTTGATATAAGTTTAGTATCGACACTTTGTCTTTGTGTTGTTGCATAATTATATAGCTAATATATATTTCTTCCCACCGTTAGAGTGTATATAATGAATTTCAGATTTTATGTATTAATAAATATTTGGCCTTCATAAAAAAACAGCCAGCAAAATATATCCTGATACACGGAAAGATTATGGTTTTCAGCGACAGGGACGTGTATATCTATTAGATGTTTTTCTACATATCTTAAATTGCTTTTATTATTGATATAAAGCCCCGTGTGGCTGTTGGAAACAAGGGACCACTGAAACATCAGAGTGCAATATAACCCGTTCCGTTGTCCATAATCTGATAATTTTTCTTTATTAATTTTTCTGATAAAATCCAGAGCGACATATTGAAACCGCGTCATTTTTCTCTATTCTATTTTATTTTATTCCGTTCATTATATAATGTCTCTAAAGTAAGTTTGGGGACTGAATGCTTCAACTGTTTTTCCGAATGTTGCTCCCCC